AGATGGTGGCAGAGGTGAGATAGGTGACTCTTGGTATTAGTGATAGATATGTCCACCAAGGAGATGGATCCCTATGATTTTCTCGGCAATGCTGACAACTTTGTATAGTGTAAAGTACTTGTATAGTGTTCTTTATCATCGAAGAGTAGATGGTGTGCTGAAATTCTGTATGTCACTACATGCTCAATAGAGCAACCTGAGGGAGGTGTAAAGGCAATTTCCCCACGGGGATCAATAAAGTATCATTTATTTTATTTATGTTCACCAGGTCACATCATGTTTATCTGGGTCGGTAATAAAACTTTAGCTTCAGCCAGGCTGGTAACTGGTTATACTGGTGATCATTGTAATAAAAACTAACAACTACTAACAGCAGACAAAATATTTCATTTTAGGGTATTGGATAGGATTATTGCACTTAAATAATAATTAGAATTGTTTATGCTGGTTCTTGTCTGACTATTTTGTGTTTTGTGGAAAAAGACAAAGTTTATATTTTTATATATATTTTTTAATGATGTAATTTTGTTGTCTGAGTTTTGACTGATTGGCTGAATTATGAAAAATGAAACACTTTTACGATTATTTAGAATACTTTCTTGCACCAAGGATTTTTGTGAAGCCAGGGACTGCAAATTGACCGGTTTTAAATCTAATATAACAACATGTGCACATTGTTTTAAAACGTTTCTTTTTAAAAGGAAGGCAAAACTAAATGCTGTCGATATAATCAGAAAAGATGCTGACACTTTTGAGAATATTTTACTCTTTGTCCTCATTATTTCATTCGGCCATGGTATGAATGATTGCAATGCCAATATATTCTCCTTGATCGGCCCTTCAAAGTACAGAGGTATCTGTAGGGCTCTCTTGTACCGCTGGGTCTTTATGCCTTAAAACTGAGGTGAGTTTCAAGTATCAGTTGGATAGAACTTGGTCATGCTTTGCACATAGGTTCTAATTTGGTAAGCTCTAGAAGGTTCTGTAAACATTCCGCTTCTTCCTTGTAACTCAGTGCAGACTTTGAGGAGGCGGTGTTGGTACACTTGTCTTCTCTGCTCAGTTTTTTTTTCTGGCAGAAGTTTGCCTCCCTGGGTCTTTTGACGAACAGAAGACATCTTCTGAAGCAGGCTTCACTGCACCCATGGGACGGACCTCACCAAATATTACGTCCTGCCCCTCATGTCCGCCTGACCCTCCCGTCTCCTCCTGCTTGTTGCTCCTCGTTAGTCCCTTGCATTTAAGGAGACTGTCACATAACGCTAACGTTCTGGGAATGTTTGCTGTTAGCTGGGAAGTGGGACTGAAACACAAAATCAGATCAACCACAACAAGCCTACACCAGTTACCCAGCACACCACCAGCGGATCTCCAGCTAATCCATTAACCATTAACAAGCCTGTCACCATGCCAACAACCAAGACAAAAACCCAAGAGTAACACAAACAAGCTAAACCAAGCTCTACAAACTAGGCTCTGAATTAAAAAGAGTTCTGAGCCCTATATTCTAAGATCAATGATGACAACTGTTTAAATAACATTCAGAAGTAATTATAGCTCAGAGCAAGATAACGCTGACCAAGCTCAATTACCTGATTGCCAATGCTGGACAACAACACTGAAAATGAAACCTTTTAATGGAAATTCATACTGTTAATAGTTATTAGGCACTTCCAGGAGGGTGACTGAGGGCTTGAGGGCAGGATTGTGGGTGTGTATAAATGAATGAGTATAAGAGTATGAGACTGTGTGTGCATACACACCTGCTCATAAACAGTTTCTTAATTAGAATTTATGAGGATGACACTGTGAAAAATGAGATATATTATGCTTAATGTGAAGGAGTAATGAGCTCAAAACATCTGAATTGGTACAGAGCAGGATACTGACCAGTGCTTCTGTCAGTGAGTAAGGAGCAGACCCATGTAATACCACATAGCCTCTAGACCCCTATTATTCAAATCACGGTCCTCGAGGTCCGAGCCCTGCTGGTTTTCCAGCCTTCCTTTACCCGTGAGCCAGGTGTGAAGCCTCTGACCAATCAGAATCAGTCATTATTAAACTAACTACCTGGGAGAACTGAAAACAAGGCCTGGATTTGGAATCGAGGTCCAGATTTGAAGAGCCCTGCTCTAGACTAATTGTTCATTGGGGTGGGAGTTATTGTTCACAGGAGTTCCTTGTGGTGGGATTAGAGTTACCATCATCTTCAAGCGGCTACTGCCGGCATTATTAGGCCCAGGCAGATTCAAAAGTTTGCCCACCTGACATACATTTTTCATGGGCAGCCTATTAGCCTGACAGAAAGGGATACCCAGGATTGATGGAGAGGTGTGGAAGCCCCTACGTGTTTTAATGTCTCCTAAGTTCTGCTGTGGTACCGCTGTAGAGATTAATCCCCGCCATGTTTTATTCACGCTCTCTCACGCTTGTCAAAAACAACAACAACAACAAACAAAAACACCTTCTAGTCAGAGCTGTCTGGAAAATGGATCCCAGTGACTCTCCTCAGATTTTCTTGCAGCATAGCTTCAGAGTTCTCCGCACTCTCGGGGTAAGTTGATGGCATTGTCAGAGCAGATGCAAAAGGGAGCTGCAGTCTCATTGAAACTAACTAAATAGTACAGGACACATTGGCACATTTAATCCTAGTGTATAGGATTCAGATCCTGTATCCCTGATTTAAGGATGCACCACTGCTCGACAGTGTCTAAATGAGATACAGTATGGTAGAGCTCCACCTCAGTGCTAACAGTGGAACTGTGGTGCAGCTCGGAGAGCTACAGACTGGCTATTACCATGTTGGTCCATTGGGTCAGAGGTTGTTTTAATAACTGCAAGCCAATTAATTGTATTCCCAGGACTCCTCTGTATTAAATCGTGCACACAATTTAAAGTTCCCACAAAATACTAAATCCAAGCTCACATAATCCCTAAAATGTGCTCATTATTTACTTTTTTGTGTCTTGCATTGGCTATTTCGAGCTCTCAAATTCATTTTCAGTTTAATTAAACGTAATGTTTTGGATATTTATGTTCATGCCTAAATAAAAAGTGACTACAAAGCCAAAAGCTGGAGTAACGTGCACGAATGCTATGGGTTTTATGTTATTTAATGTTTATTTGCTTTCTTATAATGCATAATTTGAGTCCCAGTCGAACCTGGTATTATTCGGGTAGAAATGGCACTTGTACTAGAACTGGTCCAACTAATTCTACGGCAGAAATTAGGCACTATTCTTAATTCTAAATTCCATGCATGCCTTGACCCTTCCACATTCCAAGGGTTAGGAGTGCAAGTCCCCCACCATCTGGAAAAACAGGCTAAAATTTTTCGGTCCCCTTGGACGAGCGAAGCGAAATGATGCGAGAAATGCGAAATACAGAGATCATTGCGAGATACCATGTGAGGGGCTGCCATAAACCTGCTTGCCATCCTCCAAACCAGCACTGTACATATACATTATGCATCTGTGAGTTATTTCTGAGTGTCTCCTGCAGGCATTTGCGTG